GTCGTCGCGATCCCCGAAGGTCTCCCGCTCGCTGTGACGATTGCGCTCGCCTTTTCCGTCAAGAAGATGCTCTTGGACAACAACCTCGTGCGCCACCTCGACGCGTGCGAAACCATGGGCTCAGCGACCACGATCTGCTCGGACAAGACGGGCACGCTCACGACCAACCGCATGACGGTCGTCGAAAGCTACGTCGGCAACACGGAGTTCTCGTCGGCGGCCGACCTCCGCGCCGCCTTGTCGCCGGTCGCCATGGCGGCCCTCTGCGATGGCATCTGCCTCAACTCGACGGCCGAGATCCTTCCGCCGCTCAAGGCCGGTGGCAAGCCCGAGCACACGGGCAACAAGACCGAGTGTGCGCTCCTCCAGCTCGCCACCGACATGGGCGTGGTCTACGCCGACGTGCGCAAGGCCGGCGATGTCGGTCACATGCTCACGTTTAGCAGCACGAAGAAGCGCATGACGGTGGTCGTCCGCACCTCGGCGACGACGTGCCGCGTCTTCACCAAGGGTGCGAGCGAGATTGTCTTGGACCTCTGCCAGTCGCAGCTGCAGCTCGACGGGTCGGTGTCGCCGCTCAACGAGGCGCAGAAGAACCACATCCACAGCAACGCGATCGAAACGTATGCGAACCAGGCCTACCGCACGCTCTGCTTGGCCTACCGTGACATTGACGCGTCGATGGAAGTCATCAAGACGTGGGCCGACGAAGACCTCGAGCGCGACCTCACGTGCGTGGCCATTGTCGGCATCGAAGACCCAGTCCGCGACGAAGTGCCCGGTGCGATCCGCCAGTGCAACAAGGCTGGTATCGTCGTGCGCATGGTGACGGGCGACAACATGGCCACCGCCAAGTCGATCGCGCTCAAGTGCGGTATCCTCTCGCCCAACGACGGGTCGCTCGTCATGGAAGGCGCCGAGTTTCGTCGCCGCGTCTTGGACTCGAACGGCAACATCATCCAGAGCGAGTTTGACAAGATTTGGCCCATGCTCCGCGTGCTCGCACGGTCGAGCCCAAAGGACAAGTACACGCTCGTGTCGGGTCTGATCGCCTCCAACTTGTACCCACATGGCCCGCAGGTCGTGGCGGTGACGGGCGACGGCACCAACGATGCGCCGGCGCTCAAGAAGGCGGACGTTGGTTTTGCGATGGGCATTTGCGGTACGGCGGTCGCCAAGGACGCGTCCGACATCATCTTGATGGACGACAACTTCAAGTCGATTGTGAACGCGGTCAAGTGGGGCCGCAACGTGTACGACTCGATCGCAAAGTTTCTCCAGTTTCAACTGACCGTCAACTTGGTCGCGATCACAGTCGCGATCGTCGGTGCAATCGTGCTCGAAGAGTCGCCGCTCTCGGCCATCCAGCTGCTGTGGGTCAACCTCATCATGGACACGTTTGCATCGCTCGCGCTCGCGACCGACTCGCCGACCGATGCGCTCCTCGAGCGCAAGCCGTACCCGCGCACCAAGGCACTCATCTCGCGCAAGATGTTCAAGCACATTGTCGGCCAGGGCATCTTCCAGCTCATTGTCATTCTCTTGCTCACGTTTGTGCCGTCGCTCATCAACGTCAAGGCGGGCTACAAGGACGAGCGCGACGGCAACAACCCGACCGAGCACTACACGATGATCTTCAACACGTTTGTGTTCCTCCAGCTCTTCAACGAGATCAACGCCCGCCGCATCCACGACGAGCTCAACGTCTTTGACGGCTTCTTCCAGAACCAGCTCTACATTGGCATCCAGATCTTCCAGATCACGCTGCAGGCGGTCATGGTCCAGTTTGGCGGCCTCGCGCTCAAGTGCGCGCCGCTCTCGGGCTCGCAGTGGGCGATCTGCATTGGCATTGGCGCGCTCTCGCTCCCGGTCGGCCTCTCGCTCCGCTGTGTGCACGCCGACCACTTTCCGCAGTTCTTCACCTCGTGCAACGAAGTCGAGACGGTCCACGAGCCGTCGGCGCGCGGCAAGGAGCTCTGGATGCGCACCTTTGCCCGCCTCCGCACGCAGATCCGCGTGATCAAGGCTTTCAGGAGCTCGGGCGCCCAGCGTCGCCTCCTCACGGAAAAAGGCCATCGAAACACAATCTAATCTTATGTACACTTTTGCTTGATAACTCTAGCTTCTCTTGGTACACGAGGTTGACGACGACCAGTTTGGTGATTGTCCTTGCCTACTGGTTCCTGGAAGAGGTACGAGAGCTTGGTGCCTCTGTCTACTCAGTCGTAGGCAATCACCCCGAGTAGAATGGACTCGGTGTTGTTGTTGAAATATTATAGTTGGTGAGCCTTAACATGCAATGCTCAAGAAACGGAATGCACTCGTGAGGCGTGACCGGTATAGTATAGCTGATTTGATTTGAATCGTGCTAAAGTATAATAGCTTATTGGACCATGAGTGCAGCGGGAGAAAGTTTCGTGCGGAAGACTCGGTTGTTGCGCTCAAACCAAAGACTGTACCGAACGCTAGTGTGTAAGATCGGCCAGAGAGCAAGCATGGACAACTTGTCATCCGAGTACGGAACTGTAACTGGCCTTGAAACGGCCATGGTCGCCGGAGCACTCCCGGTAGGACTCCAGGCCTACGATAAGGACCTGTCCTCTTCAACCACAAGGTTCCAACCAATGGCGTTGCGGAGTGGTGTCCAAGTCCTAATTCAAGCTTGTGTCTGAGCTCACTCTTTGTATGGATCCGAATTAGCGGTAGGGCGAGGATCGCCCTAGAACGAGGCGCAAACCAAATCTTTTCGAGGGCCGTCGGATGGAGACGCAGCCGTTGACCGCGCTGGCCGTGGCCGCGACCTATGGGACGTCGCCTGAGAAGACAGCCAAGGAGCTCGACCACTCGGAGGCTCCGCGCTTAGTGGAGAAGCCTCCGCTTGCGCCAACGTTACTCTCGCCGCGGGCGGACGTGCGGTCGCCGCTCCTGCCACCGCGAGCGTACAAGCCCGACTATGGCAGCCTGCCCAACAGCCCAACGTGGACGACATCGGCCGGCAAGAAGAACTGGAACGACAAGCATATTGCCGACAGCCGGTCGTTCTGGGACTATTGCTGCGGCGGCCTCCAACGCCAGAGCCGCGACCGCTGGAGCCGGTCTCGTTCGTCTTGCCACGACAACTCGTAGTCTCACGAGCATGCCACGTAGGTTCTTGGACCAAAGCAACGTCGGGTCCATGGTGGACATTATCGAGGCGTGTATGGCGATTGTTTTTGCAGCCATCTACATCACGTACACGTACCTTCCCAACGACGCGGTACGCCAGAGCACCATTTGTGTATGGCTTGCATGTGTGAATGCGTAGCATCTTCCGTACTTGTGGCACATGGAGCTCCTCTGCGCCGGCTTCTTCCTCGCCGACTTTTCGTTCCGTGGCATTGCGCTCTCGACCGAGCCGCTCGACGACATGATCTCGTTCTCTGGCTTTGTCAACCTCGGCGCCATCGTGCCCGTGATCCCTGTCTCGTTCTTCATCCAAGACTAGTATGCCATTACTCTAAGTCATGTTGCTCATACGGTGACTGCATGTAGCAACTTTTGGACGACGGAAACGTACTGGCGCTTTGTCTACCCCCTTCGATTCCTCAAAGTCTACATTGAAGTCCGGCGCGTCATCAACCGCTTCCACAACGACGTGACGCCCATGACGCTCTTTGCTGTCAACGCGTACCTCCAGATTCTCTGTCTCTTGTTTTGCGCCGGTGGCGTCATTCAGGTCTTTTTGTCTCGTTAAGTCAATGTATCAATGTGTCAAGTGTAGATTGCCGAGACGACGTACGGCGATATGGACACGTACAACGGCGAGTGGACCTTCTTCAACGCATGCTTCAACTCGCTTTTGCTGTTTGTGGCGATGAACTACCCGACGGCCGACAACCCGCTCACCAAGTGTTTTGTCATGTTCCTCATCGTGCTCCTCATCATTGTCGTGCCCTATCAGCTCTCGAGCTTCTTTGAGATCTACGGGTCGTACTCGTCGTACGAGTACGACGTGCTCAAGCCGTCCCGGCGCATGAAGCACATTGTGCTCTGCGGCGACTTGACACCGAATCGTATCGAGCAGTTCTTCAACGAAATCTTCCACGAAGACCACGACCTCATCGACACGCGCGTGGCCGTGCTCTCGGACGACGAGCCCTCGTCCGACCTCGTAGGCAAACATCACCAAATGGTATATTCTATAGCTCTGGACCTTAGGTCGCACTGCTTCTCGACCCGTTCATTGCCAAGCGAACCACGTTCCTCAAAGGCTCGATCCTGCACGATTACGACGCCGAGCGCGCAGCGTGCTCGTCGGCGAGTGCGATCTTTGTGCTCACGCGCAAGGTGGGGCAGGAAGACGTCAACTTGTCGGACCACCGAACGTTCATGCGCGCGATGGCGGCCCATCGCGTCGCCAAGCACGTGCCGATCTACGCCCAGTTGCATCTCTCGAGCAACAAGCATCTCTTCCAGGACATCAAGAGCAACAATGTGCTCTGTTTTAGCGAAGTCATCCACTCAATTTTGGCCCAAAACTGTCTCTGCCCCGGCTTTTCAACCTTCATTTACAACCTCACGACGACTGCGGGGTACGTCCTGCTTTGGTGTTTTTGCGTTTTTGAGTTTTTGAGTTTGAGTGATGACATATTATTGCGCCTACATTAGGTGCGACACCGAGATTGACGATACGTGGGAGTCCCGCTACTTGCACGGTGCGAGCCACGAGCTCTACTCGGTAACGCTGCCGCCGGCCGAGGTACACACTCGTACCTAGAGAAGAGAGGAACATGATGATGCTAGACGATCGCAGGTCTCACGTTTGCCGAAGTCTCGTCGTGGATCTACTCGCAGTGCGACGGTGTGATCCTCTTTGCGATCCACATCGTGCCTGGGAATCCCGCGCAGGGCCACGGCACCATCGTGCTCAATCCTGGCAGCACGTATCTCTGCGTCGGCGGCGAAGTCGGGTTTGTCATTGCACGCGACCGCAAGGCGGCCGACGCTGTGAGCCGACTCAGCACCAAGAGCAGCGCCAAGCCGGTCGTGCCGCCGAGCCACAGCATGCTGAAAGCCGACAGCATCAAGGACCTCACGTCGCTGCCGCCGCCCAGCGAGGCGCCCGTCAAGCGCAAAGGCGGTTTTGTCAAGAAGAAGCGCAATTCCAGGACGCTCGTGTGGGCGATCGCGGACCAAAAGAGCCATGGCCACGTGAAGCGCAATCTCAAGGACGCGGTGGTCTACGATGTGACCAAGTTGAAGTTGGCGACGTCACCCATTGTCGTGTGCCTCCTCGCGCCGACGTTTCCGGACCACATGGAGTACTTTGTCGTGCCGTTGCGGTCGCCGATCATGAAGGAACACCACCCGATTGTGTTTTTGACGCAGAAACTGCCGTCGCGCGAGTCGTACGACCCGATTAGCGTCTACTCGGACGTCTACTTTGTCGAGACGACCAAGATCTGCCTCGAGTCGCTCAAGCGCGCCGGCGTCGAGATCGCCAAGCGCATCGTGCTCATGTGCGGCGGCGGCGAGTTTGCAGAGACGAGCAGCGCCGAGCTCCTTGCTGATGCGGTACAAATGCAGTTCATATTTTGCGGCAAAGTTTAGACAACGATCTACTAGACATCGATCGCGACCCACAAGAGCATTACGAGTTTGCTCGGGCCCGAGCGCGCGCCGGCCGTCATCACCGAGCTTGTCAACCGGTATCTTCGGATCCAAGCTTTCAGATTGGTTGAATGGAGCGTTGCTGGGTAGAGCGAACGTGCATTTCATCTCGCACAACATTGCGTCCTCGAGCTGGTTCGCCGACGAGACGAAAGACCCGGACGCCGAGCTCTCGCTTGTCGACGTGGGCAGCTTTTCGCGGTCGCGGGCGTTCGCGTCGGGCTTGACGTACAGCACATCGCTCTGCGACAGCCTCATGATCAACCAGTTCTTCAACCCGATGATCAAGAACATTGTGCGCGAGTTTGTCTTCTCGGCGCTGCGTGCGGTACGATCTACGCCACGTTTTGACGCTTCCTCACCTCGATTTAGCACACAGCGGTCTTTCCGAACGTGAGCTCGCCCGTCAAGCCCGGCGTGCCGACGCCGCATGCGATCCAGCGCTCGTCGCTCTTTACGTGTGAAATGCCCACGGACTTTGTCGGCAAATCGTTTGGCTACGTCTTCGACTACCTTCTCGCGTCTGACTCGATCCTCACGCTTGGCATTTACCGCTGCCTCCCGGCCACCGAGAGTACTGAGCCAACGACGATAGATAGTAACGACCTTTGCAGCAGCAGTAGCAATGTGGGCTTTGGGAGCCCGCCGCTCGCACCAGACGAAGAGTTGCCGGGCATCCCCGAAGTTCTCTCGCCGCCCGTTCGCGTCTTGCCTCGCCGCCGAGGCTCGAGTCGCATTGAGATCCCAGAGCCCGTGCGCCCCGTGCCGTATGGCTTTGCGTATGTGAACCCCAAGTCGCACGACATCATGACGGGCAACGACTTGATTTACGTCTTGGCGCACAAGCAGCCGTACTGGGTGTCCTAGTCGTACGTAATTCCTACTGCAATAATAACACTCTTGAGCGAATCACACCAAATGTAACACTGCGATCTCCTGAGCCTTCACCAAGAATGGTTGAAGAATGGTGCTTGTTGCTGCGTCGTTGGTGGTATATGTGGCTACATGTGGCTGGCTATATGTGGATATATATGGCCATATGTGGCTATATGTGGCTATCGAAGTTTATATATGGCACATGCCAGTTTTAACGTTTGGACCTATTTCTGTCGCTCTAGGTCTCGCACGATGGCGTAACCTGGCATTTCGTGTCCTCCAAAGCTGCCTCTATCAATATGGAGCGTCTGGGCGATTTCATTTTCGATTGCGACTTGGGCGCGAGCTGTTGCTTGTGCCGTGCTTGTGTCGTGTGCTGGATGCGTATCGCGTGTGATTGGTCCAAATGATTTCATTAATGACCAATGATGGAATGCTGGTGAGCAGCGGGGTCCTTGCCGACAGCTCTTGCCGACCACTTCAGAGTCATCGGTTGCTGCAAGATTTGTACTGAAACAAACCGCTGCCTAGGGGTGCTTGGACGACGCTCAACGTTGTACATTCAGGTAAGCTCCACGCGATCCGAGATAACGTGCGGTCGCCAGATTGCCTTTGTCCCAAGGAATTCCATCGAATTCCACAAAAAACCGGTCTGCAAATTGGAGCGTATTCTTGGATTCACACATGAAGCTGGTCGACTTGGCGGTGGCGGGCGTCAAGGCCGAACGCCTCCGCTGGCTGCATGGCTCGGCCGCGCTTTCTAGCGGCTCGCACGTGCTCTACTGGATGCAGACGTCGCTGCGCACCCGCTACAACTACGCACTGCACGTGGCCATGGCCGCGGCCACCACCCTCCAGAAGCCGCTGTACGTGCTCTACACGTTAGACACGCACGAGGCTGGCATGTCGGAGCGCCACATGGCGTTTCTCCTCGAAAGTCTCTACGACGTCAACAAGTCGCTTCAGCAGACGCACCACGTCCCGTTTAGCGCCGTCCACTGCGCCTCGGGCTCAAGCGGCCCGCTCGACGTGGTCCTTGCCGCGAGCCGCAACGCATCGCTCGTCGTGACCGAGCTCCAGTACCTCCGGTCGGGACGCAAGCTCTGCACGACGTTTGGCGAGCAGGCCACTGCGCCGGTCGTCCAGGTCGAGAGCGACGTGGTCGTGCCCGTTGAAGTCGCGAGCAACAAGGAAGAGTACGCTGCGCGCACGCTTCGCCCCAAGATCACCAAGCACCTGCCGACGTACATTGTATCACTGCCGTCGATTGCATATGCGCCGCCGTCGCCGGCCCCAAAATCCTTGCAGGAGCTTCAAGCGCTTTCGCTGTCAACCCACGACACGTGGCTCGACCTGACCGATGCGTCGGCCGTCGACACGCTCCTCGCCACGGCCAAGGACGTCGACCGCAGCATCCCGCGCGTCTCGACATTTCTCGGTGGCGAGACGTCGGCGCAGTCGGTGCTAACCACGTTTTTGAGCCAGAAGCTGCTCAAGTACGGCACCGAGCGCAACGAGCCGAGCGGAAATGGCGCGAGCAACCTCTCGCCGTACTTGCACTATGGCAACATCTCGCCGGTCGACATTGCGCTGCAGGTAAATGCGACCGAAGGCCGTGGGCCCGCGATGGCCGCCTCCAAAGCGTCGTTTCTGGAAGAGCTCATTGTACGTCGCGAGCTCTCAATGAACTTCGTGTGGTTCAACCCGCGCCACTACGACTCGATCAAGAGCCTGCCGCCGTTCGCAACCGAGACGCTTGCGATCCACGCTGACGACGCGCGGGCCACCATCTACTCGGAAGCGCAGCTCGACACAGCGATGACGCACGACGCGTATTGGAATGCCGCGCAACTCGACATGATTGTCAACGGCAAGGTCGGACTGCTGTCGGCACTTGAAAGATTGATATTGATGGCGATTCTGTAGATGCAAAACTACATGCGAATGTACTGGGGCAAGAAGATTCTCGAGTGGACGGCGTCGCCGGAAGAAGCCTACGAGATTTGCATTCGGCTCAACGACAAGTACAACCTCGACGGGTACGATCCCAACTCGTATACGGGGATTGCGTGGGTCTTTGGGTACGTTCCGTGAAGTGGCAAATGGAGATGACGTTCAGTGTAGGAAGCACGACACGGGCTGGGCCGAGCGCGCGATCTTTGGCAAGGTCCGCTACATGAATGCGGACGGACTCAAGCGCAAGTACGACATGCAAGCGTACGTCAACATGATTCGACACCAATGTGCCGCGGCCAAGATGACGCTGCAGCCCAAGCAGTTGGCGCTCGAATGCACAAAACCCAAGGCCAAGCGGCAGAAGAAGGCCTAGTCGCTCTAGAAACCATTATCACATAGGTTTAGGTTTTAGGTCATATTACTTGAAACGAGTCTTGATCCCTTCACGTCGAGTCGACAAAACATCGACTATGATGTGTTCAGTATCTTGCACAAGCGAAGCAAATATACCCTCGGACGTACGTGGCAAGGACCTAGGTAGATATTTACTAAGCCAGCACACTGCACCGTACAGAGCGTGTAAAGGATGGTGGCGCTTGCAACTACTAGCCCTCCTTGACAGCACTTGCTCTGTAGAGATCCTCCTATGATCGAGCCTCTGGTTATGACACCCTGATTCCGGTCCGGGCCAGGGAACAAAAAAGAATGAAAAAAAAAATCACCCATCCCCGCCGACGCAAACCCCGGGAACAAAAAAAACCAAAAGTAACAAACAAAAAGGGAAAAAAAAATAAAATGGGGTTCAAAGGCCCTTTTCCGTGAGGAGGCGACGCTGGGCGCCCGAGCTCTTGAAAGCCTTGATCACGCGGATCTGCGTGCGGAGGCGGGCAAAGGTGCGCATCCAGAGCTCCTTGCCGCGCGCCGACGGCTCGTGGACCGTCTCGACTTCGTTGCACGAGGTAAAGAACTGCGGAAAGTGGTCGGCGTGCACACAGCGGAGCAAGAGGCCGACCGGGAGCGAGAGCGCGCCAATGCCAATGCAGATCGCCCACTGCGAGCCCGAGAGCGGCGCGCACTTGAGCGCGAGGCCGCCAAACTGGACCATGACCGCCTGCAGCGTGATCTGGAAGATCTGGATGCCAATGTAGAGCTGGTTCTGGAAGAAGCCGTCAAAGACGTTGAGCTCGTCGTGGATGCGGCGGGCGTTGATCTCGTTGAAGAGCTGGAGGAACACAAACGTGTTGAAGATCATCGTGTAGTGCTCGGTCGGGTTGTTGCCGTCGCGCTCGTCCTTGTAGCCCGCCTTGACGTTGATGAGCGACGGCACAAACGTGAGCAAGAGAATGACAATGAGCTGGAAGATGCCCTGGCCGACAATGTGCTTGAACATCTTGCGCGAGATCAGTGCCTTGGTGCGCGGGTACGGCTTGCGCTCGAGGAGCGCATCTGTCGGCGAGTCGGTCGCGAGCGCGAGCGACGCAAACGTGTCCATGATGAGGTTGACCCACAGCAGCTGGATGGCCGAGAGCGGCGACTCTTCGAGCACGATGGCACCGACGATCGCGACTGTGATCGCGACCAAGTTGACGGTCAGCTGAAACTGGAGAAACTTTGCGATCGAGTCGTACACGTTGCGGCCCCACTTGACCGCGTTCACAATCGACTTGAAGTTGTCGTCCATCAAGATAATATCCGACGCGTCCTTGGCGACCGCCGTACCGCAAATGCCCATCGCAAAACCAACGTCCGCCTTCTTGAGCGCCGGCGCATCGTTGGTGCCGTCGCCCGTCACCGCCACGACCTGCGGGCCGTGCGGGTACAAGTTGGAGGCGATCAGACCCGACACGAGCGTGTACTTGTCCTTCGGGCTCGACCGTGCGAGCACGCGGAGCATGGGCCAAATCTTGTCAAACTCGCTCTGGATGATGTTGCCGTTCGAGTCCAAGACGCGACGACGAAACTCGGCGCCTTCCATGACGAGCGACCCGTCGTTGGGCGAGAGGATACCGCACTTGAGCGCGATCGACTTGGCGGTGGCCATGTTGTCGCCCGTCACCATGCGCACGACGATACCAGCCTTGTTGCACTGGCGGATCGCACCGGGCACTTCGTCGCGGACCGGGTCTTCGATGCCGACAATGGCCACGCACGTGAGGTCGCGCTCGAGGTCTTCGTCGGCCCACGTCTTGATGACTTCCATCGACGCGTCAATGTCACGGTAGGCCAAGCAGAGCGTGCGGTAGGCCTGGTTCGCATACGTTTCGATCACGTTGCTGTGGATGTGGTTCTTCTGCGCCTCGTTGAGCGGCGACACCGACCCGTCGAGCTGCAGCTGCGACTGGCAGAGGTCCAAGACAATCTCGCTCGCACCCTTGGTGAAGACGCGGCACGTCGTCGCCGAGGTGCGGACGACCACCGTCATGCGCTTCTTCGTGCTGCTAAACGTGAGCATGTGACCGACATCGCCGGCCTTGCGCACGTCGGCGTAGACCACGCCCATGTCGGTGGCGAGCTGGAGGAGCGCACACTCGGTCTTGTTGCCCGTGTGCTCGGGCTTGCCACCGGCCTTGAGCGGCGGAAGGATCTCGGCCGTCGAGTTGAGGCAGATGCCATCGCAGAGGGCCGCCATGGCGACCGCCGACAAGGCGGCGCGGAGGTCGGCCGCCGACGAGAACTCCGTGTTGCCGACGTAGCTTTCGACGACCGTCATGCGGTTGGTCGTAAGCGTGCCCGTCTTGTCCGAGCAGATCGTGGTCGCTGAGCCCATCGTCTCGCACGCGTCGAGGTGGCGCACGAGGTTGTTGTCCAAGAGCATCTTCTTGACGGAAAAGGCGAGCGCAATCGTCACAGCGAGCGGGAGACCTTCGGGGATCGCGACGACAAGCACCGTGATACCGATGATAAAGTGGCCGAGGTACTCGGAAAAGTAGTCGCTCGACCACGGCTTGTCATCCACGCCAAACGTCTTGATGGAGAAGCGCATGACAAGGCCGACGAACACAATGATGGCCGCCGCGAGACCGAGCTTGCCGATAAGCACCGTGAGGCGGTCGAGCTTGCCCTGGAGCGGCGAGACCGGTTCGTCCTCGTCACCATCGTCCTTAGACGTGCTGCTGCGGGACGTCTCGAGCTGGAGGTCGGGCACTTGGTTGTTGGGCGTCACGACCGCGACGTAGTTGTCCGCGACCTCAGCGTCCGGCGAGTTCTTTGGCTTGCCGCCCTTGCCCATGATGAGCTTGGAGATGATACCGGCCTGCGACGACTCGCCGACGCAGACGACGAGCATCTTGCCGACGCCTTCCATGACCTTCGTACCCGAGAGCAGGAACGGGGCGTCCTTGCGGGTCTTGCGGAGGAGAATCGACTCGCCCGTCATCGCACTCTCGTCGATCTTAAGCTCGTTCTCGTCAAAGACAAGGCCGTCCGCGGGCAAAATGTCACCGACGTCGACGCGGACAACGTCACCAACGACCAAGTTGAACTTGCTGACCTCGGCGGGCACGCCGTTGCGAATGACCTTGATCTTCTCGTCTTCCTTGACTGCGTTGAGCGCGCGGAACTGCTTCTCCTTTTGGTAGTCGTTGAGGGCCGTGACCAAGACGACAATGAAGACGGCAAAGAGGATCGAGACGCCTTCGATCCACGCCATGTTGGGCTCGTCGCTCTCGACCTTGGTGCTGTTGACCGAGGTCTTTGGGCCCGAGTCGTGCGGCGCGACGATACCGAGGATGAGCGAGAAGACGCCCGCGACGCTCAAGATGATGATCGTCAAGTCCTATCAAATGAAATGAGTTCTTCCTGTCAAGAAATCAAGGGTGAGTACCTGGAACGCCTGCCACATGAGCTCAAAGATCGTGCTGGGCTTCTCGGGCTCAATGTAGTTCTTGCCGTACGTCGCTTCGCGCTGGGCGAGATCGGCCGCGTTGTCGTTGTCGAGGCCACCGTCGAGCGAGACACCGAGGGACGCGGCGACGCCTTCGACACCACCGAGGTGGGCAAGCGCGTCGGCCGCGCGCTCCTTGGGCGTCTCGACGAGGCGGATGAGGTCGCCAGTGAGCAGCTTCATTGCGAAGTACCGAGTACCGAGACCGGAGCAAATTGTAGAATGATAGAAACTCTGTTTCTTCTATCTCGTCCAGATGGGCGATGCTGGACAGACTGGACCGGAGGATGTTGCAGTTTGCCGGCGTCGTCAAGGAGCTAGAGCCAGAGACTCGAAAGTTTTTAGCATCCATCATCTGACGAAGGTTAGAAGGACGTTTGTTGCACATGCTGGACGTGGGTACATGCATCCAGGTACCCATCTGTTGTCAGATTCAAGCGGGAGATTCGGTGGCTATGCACGCCGGCGTCATTCGTATGGCCAGAAAGACCGTGAACCTGCGGCGGTTCATGCCGGCGTCATACCCAAAGCCGGCTGTTGAACGCCTCTCGCCGACCGCTCGCACCACCACAGATCGCATGTGATAACGCGCCGGGAGGCCGCGCCAGAGGAAAGGAATATTTTCGTAATGCGCCGCGTACCACTTCGGCGATGGCAGGTACATCAGCTTGGACAGGTACTTGTGAGGAAGAGGCGCGTTGCTCTTGATGTGCACCGTCGACCTGGCACGTGGCAGCTTCATTAAAATCGCTCTGGCGGCCGTCGTAGAGAATGACCAGCAATGGCGCTTGTCCAAGCTGCCAGCGCATTTCCGTTGCACCGAGATGGGACGCATCGCACGCTGCATGTGACGTGGATCGGCAGCGACCGCGAGAGCTGCCACGGCGAAAAACTTGCGATGGCCACCAGGAGGACGTTCGATAAGCTGTTCCATGGAAAAGGTCAACATCACCAAGCGATAATGCACAGTGCATTGGCCCTTGACATGCCCCTGCATTTGCACAGTGTAGAGAAGAGGGAACGTCCGTGGAGTGTTTTCATCCACGACCCGGCGATGAAGCCGAGAGACTTGTAGGGTGGCCGATAGCGCATGGACCTGAAGTTTATGATAAAGGATTTGTGTGGTAGCTGATCCGAGCAGTTGCCATCACCACGCCGCAACAGCGACCTGGACGAGGACGTTCCGTAGTGGAGACAAAGGTGTTTAGCCCTACGTCATGGCTGGTCGTTCTCCAATGGACAGGTCGTCAACTGGAGTCTCGATAGCTTCACACCTTTTCTCCTAGACGAGCGTCCGTTCCACAAGGCAAAAGCGTTCATTCGACAGAGTTTCGAAGAGCATTCCACTTGCACATCGCAGTCGCAACGACGTTGAAGTCTGGGCTTCAAGTAGCAAATGTCGAAGTTGCTCGGTGCTTGACCTCGTTGGGACGCGACTTCGAACATGACCTGTTATGCTTTGCACTCAGGACGGCGCTGGAGCTCTCTCGTGACTCCTGGCTGCGACCAAACGCTTTCCCGTCGTTTGCTCCCCTAACGTTAAATCGTCTGCAAACGACCTGCGATCGAGCGCTGTGGGAGCTCGTTGTGTGGAGGACTCCGCCGATCCCTCTCGCTTCGAATCCTTCTTCAACTGCCTACCACGTAGCAAGAACTGCTTGCCGAACGACGACACATCCCCGCGCTTCTCTCGGAAGCAAGCCAGGATCATAGGTCCGTGCCAGGATGCAGAGACCCAACGTCGCTGACCCTGCTGCTCATACCAAGGCCAGTGCTCCCCTGTTAGCTGCTAACGTTACACTGGTGCAGCGCGTGGTGTGCCCAAGCGCAAACTCGAGGCTTCTTCTGTCAAGTCCTGTCGAAGCACTCGACAAAAGTCTCTGCCTTCGTTGGATGCTCTCGATGCTTCCTTGTTGTAGCGCAGGGTATCTAGATCACCTCGTACAATCAAGCACACACGGGCCAATCGATGCACAGGTCGCCAGCCCACGATGGCTTCATGAGTGCGCAGGACGATCCCCAACATCGTCCGTCAACTCGGGCTCCTCCATGGCCGCTGGAGATGCAAGTGGCGTCCTTGGCGTCCGACTTGAGCGAACGCTCATGCCAAGATTGTCATGCAAATATGAGCGTGACCTTAGAAAGCTGCTCTGTGAGGTTGGGCGTTAAGGGGCAAAATCATGATCGTGTAAAGGGTGCAGTGTGATCTAATTATTGGTCGTCCAACTTGGGCTTCTTGCCTTCGGGCTCGCCTTCTGCTCCATGTATGAGCCCCATGTCGTCCATGAGCAATATATAAACGTACCGACAACGCGCGCCAACTCGGCGCCGGCAAGGCCACGCGCGCGGCTCTTGGGGCCCCAGTACGCTTCCGGGTTCTTGGGGAAACGAAGCGCCTTCTCCTTGCCCGCCGACGGACGCTTGCCCTAATCCATACAAACAAAATCGTTCGCACCATATTTCGCTCACAACACGAGATACCGTAAAGACGGCTTCGTGCTTGGGTTCCTTGGCGAGGATCTGCGTGCCCGCATCCCTCTCCGACTCGTGCTTCTTGGAGATCGGGTGCTTCTTGACCCAGCAGCGCATGATATCCCAAATGATGTCGTTGGGCGCGTCCGTCTTGATGGCTTCCGGGACCTTGTGCGACTGCGACACCTTGTAGCCGGCGTTGAGAATGGCCGATTGCATTTGCTACATTGCATGAGCCTCCGACTCCGAGCCATTCTACGTACGTCCATGCGCAGCTGGCTGCAGTGCAGCGTCTTGCAAATGCCGTGGAGCGTGTAGTACAGCGGCGCGTCGACCACCTGAGAAACCACACTCAGCGTCGACTTGGATGCAGGCAAGTAAACCTCTTCCGAGACGGACGTGAGCAACCCGTGGAGACGGTCCTTGGTCGGGTACTTGGCGACACCCTCCTTGATGACGTTCTCACGGACCTTGAGCACCATGTCGCGGTCGTGGAGCGGGTTGGACCAGATCGGACCTACAGGGTGCTGAGGATATGGCTGACGCATGATGGGGACGCACCCGACATCTTGAACTTTTTGCCGCACTGGTCACAAAGCGCGCGCTCGGGCTCCTAGAAGCACGCCACGTTGGCTCTCCACCGCCGACAAGTCTCGACGTACGACGAACGACGCGCTGTACGTCTTGCCGTTGAACTTGCCGAGCGGCTGCATGTGGAAGCTGTCGCAGCCCGTACACTAGCCACATTGGATGAGCAGCCTGGGGGGTAGGTATAGGGTATGGAAAATGAGCGTACTTGGTAGACGTACGACTGCTTGGTCATGGACGCCTTGACGTTCACGGGCGACTTGTAGACGCGGACAAAGACGCGGACGTAGAAGTCGATGCTGCACGAGACGACCGGCACAATGTGCTTTTGGTACCGGATGGCCGCCGACTCGATCGAGTGCAAGACTAGCACGAGGTTGGTTAGGATAGATAGAGATAGGGATGTAGTACCCATGCGCAGCGCGTTCTCGTGGAGGTAGTTGGACTTGTACGGGACGCTGCCGTAGCGATGGAAGCACACGTCCGGGTCCTTCCCAGAGAGCACGGGCATGTCGGTGCACGTGACGCAGAGAAGACCGCCGTTGGCAATCGCCTGCACGGCGCCGTCGAGGAAGATGGACGCCGACCCGTACGGATCGAGGTCGATCACGTCAAAGTTGTCGGCTTCCTTGCGGTGGCGGTACATGACGGACGTCGCATCGTCTTCGTTCGGGATGAGCTTGTCGGTCGTCAAGCCGTTAAACTACCACGACATCACTGAGGACCAACGTTGCCAAGCAAACGCGTACCTCGATGTTGCGCTTGATCGAGATGACAGCCGCCGGGTCGAGGTCGTTGACAAGGATCGACTTGACGCCAGCAATCTCTTGCCAGTAGCGAATCGAGCGCAGACCACTGGCCGAGAGCGCTTCAAAGATCTTGAGGCCGCTCGTCTCGGCGTTCGCGAGCACATGCGCCTTGACCTCGTCGTCACTCGGGACCTCCTCGTTCTTTTCACGCTTGCGCTGCTTGAGGATCGCCTCGCGGGCGCGCTCGTGCGCAAACTGGTTGATGACCGCGATCGAGAGGTCGCGGTTGAGCACTTGCACCTTGTTGTAGAAGACCTGGTTACCCTTGGGGAAAATGATCTTGGCGCGGCCTTCCTTGATGATCTCGCCGTCGGCCATGGGCGTCGTCTTGGGCGTAGCGTCAGTGCTCATGCTGCGGCGGCAGGTCGTCCGGGAGAGCGGGCGATGGCGTGGGAAAAGCCGATGTAACATCATGGACACTTGAATGGTGCTCCCAAAAACGTGCCAATTTTGACCAGTAAAATGCGAGCTCACCTCGGGCGGCTTGCTCTTCTGCCCGCCCGCTCATTGGCCCGTTGTGGCACGCTATTTGCGGCAGAGGTCGGCTTATATTCGGCATCATCATGGTGCCGAGTGGCAGACATGGTACGACAGTCTGGAGCTGCAACAAGGGATACAACGGGGGCTCCGGAAGTACTGTTCTACATGGACTCAACGTACGCAGTCGTCGCCGCCTGGAGCCTACCACCCAGCGTCGGACCATACATTTTCATCCTCTTTTTTCATTTCCCATTAAAGTAAAATGCTAAGGAGAGCCTTCCTGCAGGCGTCGAGCGTTGAAATGTCCACCATGGCACGTATGCTGGCTGCACTATGCTGTACGGCGCGACAATGTGCTCGCTGAACAGGACGCGAGACCGTCAGAGCAAGCTGGTCTTACACGTGGCACATGCCGAATCGTAGCGCTCGTATTGGTTTTCAGTCATTTTAATAAAATCCGATCTTCGTGTGAGGGCTCGTATCCGGATACGCGATTGCGGCAAGAAGGTTCCTTGCTGCGAAGATAATGGGAGCAGCCTCGAGCATCGACGATGGGGCGCCGGACCTCGAGCCGTACGACCGCCTGCGCGAAGGCTTCCGCCGCTTGCTGCCGCCGGGCGCGCCGCGAGGCCATGGCATCGACCGCGCGACCTTCCGCTACATGGTGCTTGCGTCCTTCCCTCGCTTCCCGCGGACGCTGGCCGAGCGCATCTTTGACGTGCTCAACGTCGAGCACTCGGGGCTGCTGCAGCTAAGCGAGCTCCTTGCCGGTCTCGAGCTTTCGCGTGACGTTCCATCCTCCGACGCCAAGCTGCAGCAGGCGTACCGCGAGAAGCAGTGCAAGCTTCTCTTTGCCATCTACGACTACAACGACACGGGCTTGCTCCAGCGCGACGTCCTCGAGCGTTTTGTCATTGTCATCTATGGCGCAGCGAAGCTGCCGCTTGTCGCACCCGCGCTCGACGTGCTCTTTGACAAGGCTACGCTCTCGCAGGTAGACACGACTGCTTTGTCTCCTCTAAGCATCCGTCGCCTCGCTCTAGGCGCCATTCCTGACGTACGCCGAGTTCCACCGCCACTTTGAGACGCGCAATGCATCTTTGGAGTTTCTCTTTCGCTGGCTGGCGACCGTCGCCATGCACGTCGGTCGCGGCCCGGACCCCGGTATCGGCGCACTGCAGACGGCGTACAGCGTCGTTGCGATCCGCGACCGCATCCGCGCCGACACGCTCTTGACGATTGAAGAGATTTGCAACCTTGAAAAGTGGTTTCAGCGCGCCCTCACGAGCGGCCAGCGGCTCGCGACCGACGCGTTCGTCCAAAGTACCTTTGCCGCGTCAACGTCGCCACGCTTTGCAGAGGCCCTCGCACGCTTCATCGGCCCGCGCCTCGACTTTCACCAGTTTTGCCTCCTCGTGTCGACCTTTGCGCGGAGCTCCACCGACGACGCGCTGCGCTACCTCTTTCGCATCGTCGCGGACCCGCGATTGACGCATGCCACGCTCGTCGAGCTCGTTGAACACCCAATGCATGACAACGCCACCTCGTCCCATGTAAGCATCCTCTTCTCTCGACGCACGCCATGCTGACGCTCTCTCTAGAGTGCAGACGACAACGTCCGGGCGGATAGCGACGACGCTGATGGGTACACGCTCGAAGCGTTTGTCGAACTGGCAACTTCGTCGTCGTCGCGCTCGTTGGTGGAGCCGCTTTTGCATGCACTGGCCATCGCCGTCTCGTCCCAGTTCAACTACAGCGTCAAGCCGCAGACGCCAGCGATCGAGCGCTGCATCGTGCGTGCCCGCTGGCTCGACTACACCATCCCTCAGCGCTTGCATGTCCGTCTACTCTCGTTCTGCAACCAGATCCTTCACGTACGAGGTAGATCTGGCACCTCGTTGACACGGCGTGGTGGTGCGCGTGGTGCAAGTACTCGGGCTTCCACGTGCTCGAAGGCACCCGCGGCGGGTCGCTGCCGTTTCCAGCCCTGCCCGCCAGCGTCGTGCAAACCACTGGCCTCGACGTGTGTGACGACGACGCGTCGACGACCGAGCGGCCGCCGCGCCTCAACAATTGGGCGCTGCAGCTGCGTGCCGGCAGCCGTCGGCTCCAGCCCAACATGGTGCTCGGCCAGCATTTTCACGTGTGTCTTGTCGCTTCCACGGCTGTCATTTCAAATGTGTTTGTAGCTGTTGCCCGAGCCCGTGTACACGGCGTTGGTGGCGTGGTTTGGCGGCGGCCCGCCCTTTGCGCGGTCCTATGTCGTCGGCGACGACGGGCACTTGACGTTGGAGCTCTTCCCGCTTGTGCTGCGGGTCGCCAAGACCACGTACCGCGGCGACATCACGTTGTCGGGCGAGGAGATCCTCGTCGGCGCGCACTCGACGACGGCGTCCATGCTTTACGACTGCTGCCACGCGCTCGTCGTTTTGCGCGATGCAGTATCCAAATCCCGTCTCTGGGCATTCCGCCAAGACCAACCGTTGGCCAAGGTGTGTTTGGCCAAGTCGGAACGCAACTGCATGCTGCACTAGGTGCTACTGCCACCCAATGCACTGCCCTACGCCCAGCTCAGCCAAGAATGGGTCTTGCTCGTTGAAGTGCAAGACAGCGACGGGTCCTGGCCGCTCTCCCAGGTAGAACCTTGGTCGATCGTGCTGGCACGGACAGGGATATGTGACTAGCCGGAAGGAAGTCTGGACGAGACAGCACCCGAGAGTCACCCGCCGTCTTCGGACGCGCCAAAATCTTACTCGAACGGGCTCGTCGGACTCGACAACCTCGGAAACACGTGCTACATGAGCAGTGCGATCCAGTGCTTGAGCCACTCACGCCTGCTCAGCGATTACTTTCGTACCGGGCTATACCGGCACGACATCAACACGCGCAACCCGCTGGGCATGCAGGTATGTCTGTATCCTGCTGATGTTTCATGTCCAACCACGTGTTTGCTTGGGCGGTAGGGGCGCCTTGCGGCCGCGTTTGGCCAGCTCGTGCTGCAGCTCTGGACAACGTCCAAGAAGCACTTGTCACCATCGCCGTTCAAGGCGGTGCTCGCCAAGTACAATAGCCACTTTGACAACGACGACCAGCACGACGCCCAAGAACTCCTTGCGTTTCTTCTGAGTGGTCTCAGCGAAGATCTCAACCGCGTAGTCGAGCCGCCGCCAAGCACGCCGATCGCCGACAGCCATGGCCGGCGCGACGCGGACGTGGCCGACGAGTGGTGGCAGACGTTTCTCCAGCGCGAAGTGTCGGTCATTGTCGCACTCTTTATGGGCCAGTACAAGTCGCTGCTCACGTGTTCGCGCTGCCATTTTGCGTCGGCGTCGTTCGAGCCATTCACCTTTCTCCAAGTACGTTTCCCAATGCCCATGGTAGAAGCGTGCTCACGGCGCGTAGCTGCCGCTGCCCGAGAGCACGCTGCGGCACCTCGTCTTGACGATCGTGTTTCGCTGCGACCGACCGCCGCTGCGCGTCACAGTGCCGATCCAGCGCAGTGGCACCATCGCCGACGTCAAGCAGGCCGTGCTCGCGCTCGATGTCGTTGAGACGGCCCACCTCATTGCCGCGTGCCTCCAAGGTCGGGACGGCGTGGTGCACACGGTCTTTGCCGCGGGCCATAGCGTGTCGCATATTCGTGACGACGAGCCCCTCATCGTGTACGAAGTTGACGATGTCACCGCCCTGCAGCAGCAAGCGACGTGCGACCCGACCGCGCCGCTTCGCGTCGGCGACGCGGTTGGCGTCCCGAGCGACCGTGGCGGCACGCCGTCGCACGCGCGCATCACTCACTGCAACGCCAACGGCACTTACGATATTGCGTACTGGACGGGCAAGCGCGACAGTGGGTAGGCTCTCCTTACCTGCATGTGTCCGGCCTCTCGACGCGGCTCGTGTGTAGCTTGTCGCGCACACGCGTCTTGCAGTACGCGGGCAAGAGCGTGCACGTGTACTTGGTGCATCGCCGCATGGAGCACTCGAACGTCTTCTTGACCGACCCGTGTGTGTTGCGGCTGTTTGGGACGCCGCTCGTGCTGCCGTTTGTACCAAGCGCCACGACAGGTTATGCCTTGTACGTGGCAGTCTGGCAGCGTCTGCGTCGTATCTTTCATTGGACCGAGCTGCCGGTGCCGCTCAAGACCGCTCGCGCACCAAGTGCGCGCAGCAACGTGGCGACCGTTGCCCTCGGTCGCGGCCTGGGTACGCACGACTTGTATGCTCCATATTGAGCTCATACGAAGGCTGTGTAGAGGACACGGGGTTTGGGTTTTGTCTCCGGATGGTGACGACCGACGGGCTAGCGTGTTCGCGCTGCGACTGGCTCGACGGCTGCCGCGGCTGCTTGGTGCCCAGCGACGACGTCGCCTTCGTCCAAATGTGCGGTCGCGAGACGCTTGCGATCGACTGGGACATGGCGACCATGACAGAAGTCTACGACGGCGGCGAAGCCAGCAAAGTGGTGGTGGGCTCGGACAGATGGTTGTGCGTGCATGTAGATGCGGCGTAGGTGCACCCGAGCTACCACACGTACAAGGCGGTGGTCGACGCGCCCTTGAGCTTGGCGTCGTGCCTGCTCGAGTTTACGGCCTGCGAACCCATGGACGAGGTGCGACCGCTCAGGTTCTTGGCGTATAAGATATCACAGACGAGCGTGGACAGGCGTTTTGCGGCCGCTGCAAGGCGCTGTCGCCGTCGACGAAGAAGATGGATCTCTGGCGCCTCCCGCCATTGCTCGTGATCCAGCTCAAACGCTTCCAGTACACGTCGTCGTCCAAGAAGAAGCTGCGGCAGCTCGTCCACTTCCCACTACGTGGCTTGGACTTGGCGGATTTTCTCGTCAAGAAGACGCTGACACCAGGGCTCGAACACTGGCAATTCCTCGGTGGCAAGCTCGCGACGCAACACGAGGCGCGTCCCAACAGCGTCTACGACCTGTACGCGGTCATCAACCACATGGGAGCCCTTGGCGCCGGCCACTACGTCGCCAACGTGCGAAGCGAGAGCGATCAAAAGTGGCGGTGCTTCAACGACCACCTCTGCCGCGACATTGACGAGCGCGACGTGGTCTCGTCATCGGCCTACATTTTGTTCTACGCACGCCGCGACATGCAGTCGCTGCCCGTGCGCCAAGTGTTTCCGCCCAACATGAGTGCCAGCCCGCTCTCGGACGATGAGCTCTCAGCGATGCTCTCGGACCGGGACGGCTCGCGCTGTACGATTAGCTAGCTTTTATAAAGTTATGGAAGAACTTGCAGGTGCTGGATGTGGTCAAGACGTGCCATGACGCAAAAAGGTAGGAAGGACAGGCAAGAGGGTTAGGGTTCGACGTGCAACGCCGCCGTAAACTCGTCGGCCGAGTAGAGCTGTGTGCCGAGCCGGTGCTCGAGCACCGAGAGGAACATGCGCACGCCGAGTGGGAGCGCGTCGTCGTTAAAGTCGAACGCATCCGAGTGCACGTCGCGGATCTGCGCATCGTCGACGCCCTTGGTGCCGAGGAAGAAGAAGCAGCCGGGGCGTTCCTGAAGGTAATACGACATGTCTTCGGACGCCATCATGGGCAGCCCCGCCTCCGTTGCGATGGCAATGCTTCCCGCGACCTCGGCCACGATCGCTGCTTGCGCCGGCGCGTTGATGACGGCCGGGTACCCTTCCTGCATGGTGATCTCGGCCGTCGCACCGTGCATGGCGCAGATGCCATGGACGAGCGTCTCAAAGCGCGTCCGCAGGAGCGTTGCGGCTGCCGGTGCGTAGTCGCGCATCGTGCCACCGAGCGTCGCAGTCGACGGGATCACGTTGTTGGCTTCGCCCGCGTGCACCTGCGTGATCGAGAGCACCGCCGTGTCGTACGGCGAGAGGCTTCGGCTCACGATGGTCTGCGCGGCGTTGATGATCTGCGCGGCGATGATGACGGGGTCGCGGCACAGCTGCGGCGCGCTGCCGTGCCCACCGGCGCCCGTGATGCGCACGGTAAACTCTTGCTCGTGGGCCATGACGGGCCCGGACCGGACATGGACCTGGCCCAAGGGGAAGCCGTAGTTGTGGTACCCGTACACCTCGTCAACGCCGTCGAGGCAGCCGTCGGCGATCATCGAGAGCGCGCCGCCGGGATTCTCTTCCTCGGACGGCTGGAAGAGAAGCCGGACGCGCGTTTGCGCGGGCAGCAAATGGCGCTTGCGCTGGAGCAAGATGGCAAACCCGACGAGCGTCGCCATGTGCCCGTCGTGGCCGCACATGTGCGCGATCGCGGGCGATGTCGACGCATACGACAGGTGCGCATTGCACTCGGTCATCGGCAGCGCGTCCATATCCGATCGGAACGCAACGCAGCGCACGGGCGTCACCGACGCGGCCGCGCTCGGCAGCGCGTCAATGTCGACGACGAGGCCGGTCATCGCGCATGCGCGGATGCTCGCCTCGGGGATCTTGGCCTCGTTGACGAGCATCGAGCGGAGCGTGCGCTGGGTCCGGACCTCCTGGAACGCGAGCTCTGGGTGGGCGTGGAGGTCGCGCCGCAGCTGGCGCAGGAGCGGAAAGAGGTTGACCATCGCAAATCTTGAAATGACCCACGACGATGCTATTGGCAAAAAATCAGCCAATCAAACAGCGCGACGACGCCAGCTTCAAGCCACAAGATTTGGCGGCGTCCGAGGTCGGAGCTTGCACCCACTCAGTGCTGTACGAACATGTTCTCGTAGGGACACCCGGACCAGCTTTACCTATTTGGCAGAGAAGAATGACCTTGCAGTTGTGAAGTGCTGTGTACATTTGGGATATCGATTCGCTTGGCATGCTTACTTCAAAATTGCTGCATATGACGGGAATTCCTTGTTGTCCCGGTGCAAGTCCGTCGCAATACTGCTGCCATTTCCGTATCATCTTCGGATGCAGCGTCTTGCTTGCCGTGCTTGTTGAACGCAACTGGTGCTCAACCTCTATCGTCTTTTCGCACAAGGCAGCAAGGCAGAATACCGGAATCTACAGCGATTTACCGTTTTATAGGCTGCAATACACGGTGCAGGCTTGGGTGGTTTCGGCGACCGATCCAAGAGCAGTTTCCGTGAAACGGGATTCTGGAAATTTATGAACGGCTGGCCAATCACAGCGCGCGCCAAACAATCGCAGCCAATCAGAAGCCAACATGGGCGATCCGACCCTTTGGCGCGACGCTTGGGGATGTCCTTTGGAAATGGAAGCGGCTGCCATCGTCATTCAGTATCTGCAGCCCTCGGCGCGAGAGCTTCCGAAGAATGTTTCGTCTTCTCGCTGGTACCGCCGCCGTCACCGCTGTGGCTGCGACGGACGCCGTCTACCCCCCGCCCCAAGCCAAGGGCGGCTATGGTGGAGGCAACAATTGGTACGCCACCCAAAGCCAAGGCCAAGGCGGCTACGGCGGTGGCTACAACCCCCAAGCCAAGGGTGGCTATGGTGGCGACAACTCTGGCTACGCCCCGAAAGCCAAGGGTGGCTATGGTGATGACAACGCTGGCTACGCCCCGAAAGGCAAGAGTGGCTACGGCGGTGACAACTACGCTCCCCAAGGCAAGGGCGGCTACGGCTACGGCCGCAAGGCGATCACGTTTCCGCCGGCGTACGCGATCATCGACCCCAACTACTACAACTCGATCTTCACAGGGTACCAAAACTGCGTCGCGACCAAGTGCGACGTGCTCCCGAGCGACTACAGCGCGACGGGCATCAACGACTGCATCTCGACGATCGCGGGCTACACGTCGTGCGTCACGGCGTGCGCGGCCGGCCAAGCGCTCGAAACCGTCGAGGACTTTCGGACGCTGCTCGAGAGCGTGATCGAGATCGGGAACGACCAGCTGCGCCAGGCGCGCGTGTACCTCTCGGGCCTCGGCGACCTCGACGTGATTGGCGAGCGCGTCCACATTGGCGAGTCGTGCTGCCTCCCCAACAGCTACTTTGCGTCATGGGAGCGCATCATGATCCCTGTTGCGACAAAACTCAAGAAGGCGGACGCGGATCAAGGCAACTCGTACAATCCTCGGTACCCGAACAACCCCGCACCACCCGCCGCCAACCCGGATGACGAGACCACGCCTTACATGATGTCGGCGGCCGACTACATTAGCTTTTGCACGTCGGCGGATTCTGGCACCAAGTTCGAATGGCTCGACAAAGAAGACATCTGCGCCGACACGACCAAGGCCACTTACTTGCAGGCGCTACAGCGCAACCTCGGGCATCTGATTCTGGCGCCGTCGTGCGTCACGGACGCTCCCGATGGCGCGTGCTGCGACGACGCCCACCCGAACCCGCGCGCGACACCCTTCCGCGGCGACGTCTGTGTTGCGACCACGTACGAAGCCAACGGCAAGACCAAGACGCTGACGACGCCACTCATCAAGCCCACCGCTGTGTCGAAGAAGCAAGGCCGACGCTATGACCCGTGCCCGTGCGACGAAATTGACCAGGGTACTGGAGACAACAAGACGCCCAAGCGCATCCGCTACGACTATGTGAGCGGCCGTGACTTGCTCTACTACACGGTGACAGGCGGTTTGCCGTCCGACTACGTAGAAGCCAGCGAAGATGGCCCCTCGACGTGCACGTACAACGTCGGGCTGGCAACACCAACGACCGACGGCTTTTTCAAGGACATCGCGCCCATCACGGCCCCCCTCTTTTTGGCCAGCGAAGAGGGCGGCGAAGAACTTGGAATCTCCATTACCGAAGACGCCATTAAGGCTGTGCGCCACTGCCCGACGGACGGTCTCCTCGAGTACTGCAACGTCGACCAGTACGCGTCGTTCCTCGAGTACCAGCTCTTTGACCACGCCAACTGCGACATTGCCGACCTCCGCACGCAGCACACGGACTACTCGTCGTCGTACCAGACGATCGCCTGCCTCTACAAGATCTTCTCGCTCAAGTGCGACTGCATGGAAGCCGTCCTCTCGTGCTACTCGGTCTCGTCGCACTACGCCTCGTCGCTCTCCAAAGTCATTGGCCAAGCCGCCTCGATCCTCTGCGGCTTTGTGCTCTGCCAGCGCCCGAACGTCTATTCGCTCTTTGGCGACGAGTACGCGATCGACCGCGCGTCCCTCATGCGCCAACTGCTCACGTCCGCCGGCATCTTTAGCGCCGGCTCGCTCTCGCCCGCGGCCGCCGTTCTCCTCTCGTTTGGCCTTGGCATGGTTGCGCTCGTCGTTGCCAAGAAGGTTGCGGCCGCCGAGAAGGCCAAGACCGTCGACATTGATGCAGGGTACCAGAATCTTATTTAAGTGCCCGGCAGCCCGCAATACAATGCGTCATGGATGTTTAACCTACAACAAAATTCTCTTTTCCTTACCCTTTTCACATTCTCATGTCCCAAAAATCTACGTTGTCATTGGTACTATTGCAAACTTTATCGAAATGCAATGAGAGCAGGCAAGCAACCAGCTGATGCGGACAAGCTCGAGTGCCTCTAGCGCATCCTACACCGACAACCCAGTGATGGACCCTAAACCCCCATATGTTGCCAGAACCCAGGTCCAGTTACACTGTACGATGAGCCAAGAACGAGACACGAAAACTACAAACTACAAACTACGAACGAGTCCACTCGATGCGACCGCGGCGGTGCTTTTCGAGATACGCGTTGATCTTGGAAAAGCAGTGTGAGCCGTGGACGCCGTCGTTGCAGTCGAGCAGGAGGTGCTTGGCGCCGTTGATGAGGACATTGCGCTTCTACATCACCACACGCGCGTCAACATCTCATCGCTATCAATGTCGACAAGTTTTACCGGCAGCGCGGCGCCGAGGAGCAAAAATACACTGTGGGACGTCACTCGGTTGAGAATGCGCAGCACGGCCTCGAGAAAGAGCTCCCAGCCCTGGTTCGCATGGGACCCGGCAGTGTTGGCGCGCACGCTCAGCACTGCGTTTAGCAATAGCACGCCCTACGCCCACCGTATCTTGCATCGCCACGCAACCTATCGCGTCGTCGTACCTGCTTGGCCCAGCTCTCTAGCGACGCGCTTGGCAATTGCGGAAGCGCCGAGTCCCGGCCGAGCTCATCAAACAGAGCTTGGAGGCTCGTGGAAACGCGGGCTGCGGGCGGCAGCGCAAAGCACAGCCCCGTCGCCTTCCCGATTGAGGCGTACGGCTCCGCGCCGAGCACCACGACGCGGACGCTCTCGAGCGGGCACGCATCGAACGCCGCCAAGAGGCTTCGGACGGGCGGGCACAGTTGGTGTCCTCGCCTAATACACAGCATGAGCTGCATGCCAACCAAGACGGTGAGCCAACTCTGCTTCGAGTGCCAAGAAGGCGGCGAGGCGGCGCATGTAGGCCTTTTCAAACTCGGTGGTGAGCACCTGGCGCCACGCATCGTCGTGCAGCAAATTCGACCACACCAGTGGCGGCGCGGTCTCGTGTCGCGGCCGCTTGGCGAGAGGTTCGTCCGAGACGACGACGACGGGCACGTTGGTGTTGCGTAAGCGGGCGAGAAACGCAGACGCTTTGGCCGACTGCATCGCGCAGTAGCTTGCGACGAGCGCGTCGACCGAAGTGTCCGAGAGCATGGTTCGAACGTCGTCCCGATCGCGCTGGAGAAGCGCATGCACCCGTATTTCAAACACAGACGTGGCGTCGGTTGGCGGGACATGCACGACAAAGGCGAGCACGAGGCACATGATGAGGAGCGGACCGAGCCCGACGCTGCGAAAAACTGCGTGCGCGTGAAGCGCCTGGCGCACCTCGGGTATTAACCACTGCGTCGCACTCGGCTGCGTCGATATCGCAGTCTTGAGCATGTGCGGGAGGAAGAGCGCGTCGATCGCGGTCATCATGGCATGCGAGAGTCGGGTGGGGTTCATGGGCGAACTCGCGGTCGCGATGCGCTTGAGCGACCGGAGCAGCCATGAGCACGGGTGCAGCGACGACGAGGTGCACACAAGGTGGCACGGCGACGCCAACCACGATGGCACGCGCTTTTGCGCCAGCGAGAGTCGCAGGACGCCGGTTAGAATCGCTTGGCCGAGGGCATCAATGTCGCCTTTGCATTCGGTCGGCAAATACAGCTGCATGAGCGTGATATGAACAAGTGGGGCCAGCCGAGGGTCGTCGCAGTACCCGAGGAGTGCGATCCACGACGCGCAGTCCAAGGCCACGAACGGCGCGGGCGACCCTCCAACTTGTACGCAGGGCGTCGAGACGCTTGTCTCGTGGCCAATGAAAAACCCGATCGTCGATGTCGCCTTCGTGGGCACGATGACCGCCTGCGCCAACGTCGTTGCAAACGTCATCCACGACGCATGGCTACCAAGCAGCAATGACTGCCGCGCTGCATGGATGATGCACGATGTGATGGGCAGCGTGCGGAGCGCGGGGAGGTTGAACCACTGCTGCAGCGTCGCCGTGTGTGCCGGGGCCTGCCACAACAGAGTCACGAGCGCCGCCGAGACGTGCGGCTGCTCCAAGACGCGGGCCCACGGCAAGTCGACCCACGAGGATGTGATGCAAATCCAATTCGGGAGCTCGGACGCCGAGATGCGCGTGAGCGCGGTCTGCAGAACGTTGCTCCAGTGGTCGTTCAGCAACCAGCCGCGGATCGTGGCGACGCCGAGTGTCAAGTGCTCGAGCTGCGACATGTCGACGCAGTGGACCGCCGTGTGCAGCAAAAAGGCCGTGAGCGCGCGCAAGTCGAGCGGCATGTTCGTCTCGAGATCGATCCGTAAAAGGGTCTCGAGCCGCAGCGGCGACATGGGCAGTCCGGTGGCATTCGGATGCGTGTAGCGCTCGCCGTACGCGACCAAGGTCGCCGACGGCGGCACAAGGTGGCTTGCCCACATCTCGGCGACGGCCGACCCAGTCTGCCGCAGCCACAAGACGATCTGGTTCCAAAGTCGCGTCCAGTGACAGCGGTCGGACGTCTTCCGCGACGAGGTGACGAGACTGAAAAAAAGAGCGTCCAGAAACTGCTTGTCGTCGGCGCAGCAGCGCGCCCAGAGCGCTTTGCCATCCGCACCGTCGTGGTCGAACGCGACGAAGAAGCGCACGAGTGCGTTCGAGTGGCTCGTCCAAGCGTCATCGAGCGACATGTCCCCCAGAACGTCACTGAGCAGCACGCGGCTGGGCCACGACGGCGCACGGACGCTTGCGATCGCGCGATTGCGGTCGACAAGGCGGCATAGCAGCGCACGTCCGCGTGGATACGAGAGCTGCGTCGCCACGGCCGTCGCCAACGCCAGCGCCACGTCAGGCGATGCTGCAAACGCATCGCAAAGCACTGCGTCGTCGATAGCCACAGAGCGTATCCAGTCCGAGTCGTCGTTGCGCAAGAGACATGCGTGGAGCACGCGCGACCACAGGCGAGGTGAAAGCGCCTCGTTTGTTGTCGCCACGGCCAGCGCCGTGTCGTCAAAGAAGAGCTGGCGCGCGTTCGCGAGGTCAACGTGGCGGCCTCGGGACACCACCAAGGACGCCGCCCGCGCCACGAGGTACTCTTCGACCGGCGTGTACGAAGCTTCGTTTTGGTGATGCACAAGCGCCGCGCCGGCGCCGAGTGCACTCGCCCAGAATGCATCGCTCAGCGGCGTTGCCTCTGCGCCCAAGAGAAGGTCGTACACGGCGTGTAGCGAGTCTGCTATCGACCATGCAGCGTAGACGCGGGCGAGGTGCGCCATGGTGTCCGCAACGCGCGCAGAAGGGCTCTGGCTCACAGACCACGAAGCGTTGGGAACTCGCAAGAGCTGGCAAACCACGGAATGCGCCCAGTGGCGACGACCCGAGAGAAAGCGGGCGACACCGTTGCGCTCGAGCGTCGCGGCTTCGAGAAAGGCGTCCAGCAACGACGAGAGGCACAGCTGCCAATGCAACGCCGTGCGCTGAACCAGCTCTGCGCCGTGCCCGAGTGCTGGCGCCTCGAGGTGGTCTTTGCAGAACGTATCCATGTCCCACGCAAGGACGACGACGGCGCTAAGAGAGGTCGGGCCGGACGCGGCAAGCGTCCGCAGCCTACGTACGTGGACGGGACAGAGCCCTAGTCAAGGTCACGCATACGTCAATGTCGCACTGTGACGTCGTGTACCTGTTGTGGGCGCTGTCATCGCGTTAATAGCATCCATCGGCAGACGCAGTGCAGGTAGCGACAGCGGGATGGCATGGGCGTGTGAGCGCGGGCACCCGATGGCGGCGAGTCGTTCGAGCGTTGCGCTGAACTGCTCCGACTGCGGTCCGTAGGCCCGTAGTTGCTCGGTCAGACGAAGCACGTTGTCACGACCAGCCAATCTGAACGAGTCGCTGGTCTCGTGTTCCAAGAGGAAGCATGCATCTTGGACCCACGCCAATGGCGCCGTGTTGTCTTCCAAGGCGATTGAGAGAGCGCGCAGGCGTAGGTCGATTGGCAGCAGCGGTGGTGCGAGCAGCTCGAGCTGCTGCTTGGGTGCAAGCGCCGTCACAACGGCCCGGAATTGCGCAGGCGACGCCAGCGCTAGCAAGAGCCGCGCGCTGGACACCGCCTTTGGCTCGTGCGCCGCCCATCGGCGGACCATGGGCGCCAGCAAGAATGGAGCGGACGTCAGTAGCGCATGCACGTCGTCGAGGTCTGTACCATGGAGGAGGGCTGTCGCTGCCGCCGCAGCGCGGTGCTCGAGCCCTGCCATCGTCTACAAAGTGCGATGTCAAATTAAGTACGCCCTACAAAGTACGATTTAATTGGCCAATCCAATAATGGGCAAGGTATCAATTCATCAACGCCACGCTGAAAGGACCTAACTCAAGGAGCTTACTAGTAGTAGCGTACGATAAATCTCTAACGGAGGTGCATGGCATTACAAATGGACTTATACATTAGGGTGCAAAGCAAGGCTGGGCAAAGACGCTTACTCGACGGTCCAGTCGATCGGGTCCTTGCCCTGCTGGACAAGGTACGCGTTCGTCTTGGAGAAGCAGCGCGACCCGATGAAAGGCTCGGCCGTCTTGGTGGCGCCGAGCGGCGACGGGTGGGAGCTCGTGAGGATACAGTGCTTGGACCGGTCGATGAGCGCGCTTTTCTCCTGCATTTATCATGAGAAAACTATAAGAAATGTAGTCGGCAGTACCTGCGCCGGTTTGCCCCAGAGAAGGAACACGACACCGGACGTCTCTTTGCTAATCTTGCGCATGATGACGTCCGTAAACGTCTCCCAGCCCTGCTTCTTGTGCGAGTTGGCCTCGGTCGCACGCACCGTCAGCACCGTATTGAGCAGCAGGACGCCCTGTGCCGTCAGGACGGGTAAGCTATCGATGGAGCCAGGGAATGAGTATCGTACCTGGTCGCACCACGAAAGCAAGCAACCGTGCGACGGCTTGGGAATGTTCACGTCTGCGATCGCTTCCTTGTAGATGTTTTTGAGACTCGGCGGCGGCGGTACGGGCTTTTGCACCGAGAAGCAGAGGCCATGCGCCTAAGAGCCCTTGAGGTGCGTCGGCAACGACAACGCGAGTCTACCTGACCGGGGCCGTGGTACGGGTCTTGGCCGAGGATGACCACTTTGATCTTATCGAACGGGCAGAGGTTGAGCGCAGTGAAGATCTCGCTCTTCGGTGGGAAAATCATGGCTTTCTTCCTACGCCAACATGAGCGCAAGTCGATGGCAGGCATAGGCGTACTGCTGCTCCCGGACGAGGAACGCGTCCAGCGACTTGAAGTAGCTCTTCTTGAACTCGGGGGCGAGCATCTCGCGCCACGTGGGCTCGGTCAAGAGGTCGCCCACGGTCGCAGGAGCTGGCGCCGCCGAGGCAGTCTTGGTCGGCGCGGCCTCTGCCGGCGCCGCTTCCGTCGCCGCCGGGGTTTCTTTGGCCTTCTTGGCCGCTGGCTCGGCGCTGCTGCGGCTCGCGGCAGCTCGCTTCGGCCGGTCGGACGCGGTGAAGAAGGCTCGGATGTCACTCATGCGTGCAAATCGAAAATGGCGGCAAACCACGCAAGGGCCAATCAGATGCGATCATCATTTCTGAAATAGTGTGCAATTTGGTTGCGGGATATGCAGGTCCGCCACAGGAGCGATATCAAGCTCCAAGAACGACAAAGGATCGCCCGAGCATACTATATGACACACGTTCTTCTACGATAGACGGACGTAGGTGCTTTAGTGCTCGTAGAATGGTACATTGCACTTGCACATCCACTACCGTATCACACTATTTGCGTGGAGGGTGCTATGCAGAATCTGTTTCCCGCCACCACGCTCGCGCCATCGCCACAGCGCCTGCGCGCGAAAGACACCAAGTTGATTCCGATGGACAGTGTACAAATAACTTCTTCGCAGCGCATCTGCTCTTTGACATGGAGAGTATCATGCTTCGTCATCGTGCCCCAGTCAAGTTGCCCTGTTCACCGAGCAAAGCTGGCACTGCATGCTTCACCGTAGAGCATTTGCCTTGATCTTGATTGGCCACATCAAGCTATTGCCCAGACCTCGGTAAGATCCAGGGTTATGTTGTTACAAGAGCTCATCGCAAGTGGTTAGCCTTCGCCTTCCTCGCAAGAAGGACGCGCCGCCATCGGAAGCGGTGCGGAAATATCCATGGGGCTGCAAAAGACAATCATTTTGACCAATCACACACCGCTGCCTGCACGAAGAAGCTCACTTTGCCTTTAGCCTGAAAATGAACTTTGAGCTCGAAGAGACAGTCCGAGCGTACGTGGCCCGCGCCGACGTGATCCCAGGTCGCGACCACAGCGACGCGGTCGTCTCGGCCGTGCGCCTCTCGGGCGGCCTCGTGAACCACGTGTGGCGCGTCACCTTTGCCTCGGGCAGCACGGTCGTTCTCAAGCAATTCCCGGCAACCGTCAAATGGAACCCGAGCCTTCGACTGCCCACGCAGCGGTCCGAGGTCGAGCACTGCGCGCTCACGTGCATGGAAGCCCAGTGCAAGGTGCGCGACGGCTGGTCGACGCCGTACCCGATCTTCTATGACCGAGAAGAGAGCGTCGTCATCATGTCGGACGCCGGCGATGCGCACGTCACGCTCTTTGATTTGCTGCGACACGACCACGGCGCACCACCAGCGCTAGACTTTGTGGCAGCCGCCGTCGCCGAGTTTGTGGCGAGTGTCCACGACGTGGTCGAGCCCATGGCGCCGGCCGAGCACATGTCGCCCATTTTGATCTCGCTCCACGAAGCTGCGCGTCCGTCGCTGGTCAAAGCTCTTGGCGAAGAGGAAGGCGCGGCGTGGTATGCACGCAGTCTTGCCGCACGCAACGTGCTACAGCAATGGATCTTTGGCGATCTCTGGCCAAGCAGCGTCCTCGTCGACGTGCTTGGACAAAGCGTGAGCGTCGTCGACTGGGAGTGCTGCCGCCTCGGGCATGTGGGTATGGACGTGGCGCAAATGGCCGCGAACCTCCACCTCATGACGCTTGGCACGCCATTCCACAACGAAGAGTCCAAGGGTGTTTTAACCGCCTTTATCGCAGCCACGCAAGCGTCCCGCGCCTTTGACAAGACGTTTGATTACGCCGGCGCGTTCGTGGGGCATGTCGCAATGCTGGTGGTGTACCCGCATTGGGAGCTGCCGAATGGCGCCGACGAGGCCATTGTACAAGCGGCGCGTGACGCTGAGGCGTTGTTTGCTGTCGTTGCTTGAGACTTTTGTACTCTATTTTTGTCAAATTTCATACTAGTACTTGTACATTCCAGCTTCTTCGTTCCATGTGGGCTCGATAGCCCATTGATTCGCCGTACATAGTTGAATAGTTGCCCGCGTGCTGAAGTGGGTCGTAGATCACAGCGAGACTGCCTGCAACTCGCGAGAAAGGAGTTCTATGTCACTGACAGGGGTGATCACTCGGGTCGCTCCCATCACATGCTACTTCTAGTTCCGACGTCGCAAGCTCCGACGTACTAACGTTAGCCGAAGCAGAAGGATGGACACTCCGAGTGACGAAGGCCGAGCTGTGTCCAATCGTTCGACTAGAATTTTGTTGACAACCCAACGCGTTGACGTGGCGTGCACGTAGTGTAGTTTCGTACTGTCTTTGGCTCGAACGCAGCAACCGAGTCTTCCACTTAAGCAACGGCGCTCAAAAGACTTTCCGCCGATGCGCCTATGGTCGAGGCAGCTACTAACTAGGCAGCTACTATCTAGCACGCGCTTGCACAACAATTGGCTCGTCGAGCCGTGGCGCCATCGCTCGCCGCTAATCTCTCCGCGACGTCCCTTGGCCCTATCGCGTTCCTCGCACAGTCCCGCAACAAGGCTACTAACACACCTAGTTTGACGCCTTGCCTCACAATCGCTTTAGGAGGTGAGCTCTGATTGCATGGCTATGATTCAATTCAGTATAAACTCTGTGTGCGGCTGCTGTGTGTAGCACGTGTTTGGCACAGCCGGTCCATGCACGATCATATCATGCGTGGACCGGCTGTTGGCGTTGCATTTTGGGAATGCATAGTGTCGTGCACCTCATGGTTGTGGCTGTGTCCTACTGGACCAAAAAGACATTTTCATTTTTTTATTAGTCATGTTATGCTTCCTGGGCTAGGTGCTTGAGGCGTGCCTCGCGCAGGATCCGAATGGCGGCCTCGCCGATCGAGTTCCGGGAAGGTTCCCATGTGGCAGGTGCCACTTTGTGGGTCTTTGGTGGCACCTTTGTGGTGGCAGGAGCCGCTTTGGCTAGCTGCGTGGTGTTCTTTGAGGCAGGTGCCGCTTTGCGCAGTGCCGCTTTTGTGACAGGCGCCGCTTTGGGTCGAGACACCACTGTTTTGGTGGCAGGTGCCGCTTTTAGTTGTGTGACGCCCGTGACAGGCGTCACTTTGGGCTGAGGCACCGCCGCCGTTTTAGTGGCAGGTGCCGCTTTGGGTTGTGTGACAGCCGTGACAGGCGCCACTTTGGGCCGAGACACCGCCGTTTTGGTGGCAGGTGCCGCTTTGATATGTGTGACAGCCGTGACAGGCGCCACTTTGGGCTGAGGCACCGCCGCCGTTTTGGTGGCAGGTGCCGCTTTGGGTTGTGTGACAGCCGTGACAGGCGCCACTTTGGGCCGAGGCACCGCCGTTTTGGTGGCAGGTGCCGACTTGACCGGATGGATCCGGTTTATTTGCGGCCGGAACGTGCACCCCGCCATTTCCCGGGCGAGCTTGAGCGTGGCACGTTCCGAGAAGATGCTGGAGCGAGGGGCGGAGAGGCGATCGAATACGGTTGTCATCTTGTCCGGATAACGTGCAATTGGTGATTTCGAGTTGAGAGTAGCAGCCAATGCGAATCGGAATCCAATTTCGCGCTACCGCTCATTTCATTGGGCGTCGCTTCGATCCCCGTCACAGCAGCACTTTTGTCACATATATCACTGGCGCGTGCATGTACATAAACGTCATGAAAAAAACGCCGAAAAGTGCAGCGCATACGGCGGCGCACGCAACGTAACCGCAGCCCCACATGGTATGGGACGAGGTGCAACTGTGCGAAAACGGCTGTTGCATCTGAAAATCCAAAAATCCAAAAATCCAAGCTTGAAGAGGTCCAGCGGTCGTCGCAAGCGCAGGTGATGCAGCCACGGCCGAGACCAAGGCCCCAAGAGAGCGTGCGCGAGGTTCTTCCAAGCTGTGCCAACGAGGATGCGCCGATGCTGCAGGCTTTCTTCTGTCCTGGGATGCAACTCGTACAGGCAGGCTTGGCGCGTCCAAATAGCAGTGCCAATAATTATTAGTGATGCCCTGTACAGGCATGGTATCGGCCGCCGCCTACCCGACACGCGCTCGCGCTCGGATGGACGGGCGGCAGCGGCAGCGGCGACGAGCGCAGACAGTCCATCCGAGTGCGAGCGCGTGTCGGGCTAGGCGGCGGCCGATACCATGCCTGTACAGGGCATCACTAATAATTATTAGCACTGCTATTTGGACGCGCCAAGCCTGCCTGTAAGAGTTGCATCCCAGGACAGAAGAAATCCATTTGAACAATGCGAAAGTCCCCTACAATATTGCAATGCAGCCGCTTCATGGAGCGCGTATGGATGCCAACTCCGTCGTCTCGTTTCCTTTGCAGCTTGGACGTCTTGTCAAGTGGAGAAAAACACGCTTTGATGGGATTTTGTCTCCTAGGTCGTCTTCCCATTGCTCCAAGTTACTGGTTGCTCAGCGCGCGGGAACCACTTCAGCGAGCTGGTAGAGCACACAGACT